CCCCCTTGTTAAAAAATCCTGGCTACGCCACTGTTTTTGGGTGTTTTCTGATTATATTATTATGTGATTGAAAATAGGACATTTGGGGATTTTTTTTGGGACAACCAGAAATTGTTGCGGACAACCCGATTTGATGCCGGGGTTGTCCGCAGGACAACCAAATTTTTTTTCTTATTTCGAGCACTTGATATATACACCTGGTTGGTATATATAACTATGTACTAATATAACTACGCCTATAGCTCATAGGGTCTATGTCCCCCAGGGTACTGCCGGAACGTACCCTGGGTACGGTCCGGTAGGCCTATACCGGAACGTACCCTGGGTACGGTCCGGTAGGCCTATACCGGAACGTAGGGGAGACCGGAGACAATTGTAACACTTTTTTCCAAATATGACATAACAACTTTATTATAGTTAAATACTTATTTCAAGGTATATGAAATTAAAGATGCATATCTTGGCTTGAAATATGACTAGGTTTGGGTTAAGTAAAACAAGTTATTTTGAAGCCATTATCATTTCAAAACTGGAAGTCAAGTGTTCCACAACACGGGGCAATTGTAACAACCAATGGGGCAATTGTAACACATACAATTGTACCAGCAAATCATATCCCTCAGAAATTTTTTATAAAGGTGACACGTTGGACAGATTTTCAACAATTAAACAGCAATTTATAGAACCACAATAAAATAATTTTAATAAAAACTATGACGAATGCTTGACTCATTTACATATGAATAAAATATATAAATAGGCTACTTATTGCCTTGTGAATAAAACATATTTACAGACCCATTAATTCAAAGTTATGTAGTTCTCTTGTCTGAGCATATAGATAGGTTACTTTTTTGCCTTATAAACAAAACACATTTTGTAAAACACATACTTTTTATACATGCCAAGGGGCAATTGTAACACGTTGTTACATTTGCTCCCGAGGAGACGGCCATAATTTGGGGGCTGTTTTTGTATCTTAGCATTAGTATTCGTCAATGAAACTTTTACCAAATACAGGCCTAAAAACCTATTTTTTTATGATATACAAATGACAGTGATAGCTCAAGTACATATTTGTCCAGAAAAAAAAACATTAGGTAATTCGAGATTTTACTTACCTGCTAAAAAAACGATGTTTTGGCTGTCAAATGTTCCTCGATGCGTAAACCTGCCTACCCTCAGGACAGCATGTGGGTCAATGAAATGTGCATGCGCTGTGAAGAGCGCGTATACATATAGCACGTTTCTACTAGGAATGAGGGCCTTTGTTACATTTGCCCCGTGTTACAATTGTCCCCGGTCTCCCCTACCCTGGTCACTATTTGATATGGTTAGGGTTAGGGTTAGGTTTTAGGGTTAGGGAGTAGGCGTAGGCGACTCCCTAGACTCGTTAGTGGAGTCGGCGAGGTACGGTCCGGCATATTAGAAAGTACCAGGGTACGCCAGGGTGTTCCGGCAGTACCCTGGGGGACATAGACCCTCTCAGCACTACACTCACCATAGAAATAATATAGATAACCAGATAAATATAGATAGGGATTTCTATGACTATAACGCACCGTAACGGTTCTCTACTAGTCTACATGCAGTAATTGGATTAAAAATGTAATCGCTAGCATGTGGGTTTATGCCCCCTCAGTCTAGCTAATGTCTGTTTCGCCATGGTTACTGTACTTACATAGTTACATGAAAAAAAAACAGCAGGAACAAATTTACGTGGTTGAGCAATACCATTGTTTTAAATAAGTGGCACATTTTCTGTGTAAGCAATAGCAGAATTTACTCTTTCGCTATAATTTTAAATGAACAGCCGCGGTCCGTTTATCACGTTAACCAAAATTTTATTTGAAAGCTTTTTTCATATTTTAACAATAAATTTATCATCTTAACAATCAGGTCATATCATTCTGCATTTAATTTTCTACGTTTTAACTAGTAGATGAAACGTTTTCTTAAATCACAAATAAATCTATATTAAGATGTACTACAGGAAAAACAATATTAATACTTTTACCAGAACGGACTACTTTGCTATAATTTAACAAGGGAGTCTTAACTGACAGTACTATTTAATTAATTAAACAACTAGTGTACATTTAGTACTTACAATGCTATAACATTTGTATATAGATTAATGCAAATAAATAAGTACATAATAGTTAATAATCCAAATAAATACAAACCCGTAATGTCCTAAATTAAATACTTATATGAATTACTGCTGACCCTGTCGCAGGTTTAGCCCAACTTCTACTTTTTCTTTAAATTGAGCAGAAATGCTTATCAGATCGTACAAAATATTGGGGCTTTGCCTTGTCTTATAGCATCTAGGCGATATTACAACACCAAATTTACAGAAGGCCATGCAGGCATCCATGACATGTTAACATATATATAAATACATTTGCAAACCACTTGCCTGCTGTTTTCTGGTGCCTTGAAAATAAATAATAATTTATAATACTATATTTAATAACTAGAATAAGGTAATAATTCATTACACGTCAATTCAATCACACAGATTATCCATAAATTATTTGCACAAAACTTCAAACTTCAAATCATACTTCCATCTTAATTATGAGCTCCATCTTAATTATTAACGTCCTGAGTTGTTATCAGTCAAAAAATAAAAATTACAACAAGTAATAAACTATATTGTTCAACCCCTTATTCCAAATAGATAACATGGCTAACGGTTTTAGCCTGATTTTCAGTTCAATTCTGATTTATTTTACTGGGTGAATTTTTACCGATGCTGAAGTGTTAAAGTAGCATGTAGCATAAACAAATCACAATGGAACAGAAAATATCAGTGAATTAGAAAAAAAAGCACTCTATAATGAGTGTGGGATATAACCACTTTCACCATATGATTATCCACTTTCACACATGAATATATATATCCAATTTCAACATGTAAAGAAAAGGAGACCTGGCCTTTCTGTTGGATTTTGGTGGTTCTTAAGTTATCAGTGTTCCAAAGCGGCTGCACATAATGCAAAACATTCTTCCCAATTATAAGTAGATTTCAATGTCTGCAAGGGTCTTTTTTCAGTAGATCTTTAGACATTGTTTCGATGTATGCTGATAGATTGCAGCACCAATCTCAGTTGCCAAGAACATCTGCGATAGAATCAAACACTATTAACACATTACCTTTATCACTCACTATTAATCTGGCCTAAATAAAAAAAACCGTTTTAATTCTCGCACTGCACAGCATTGAGAAAACACATTAGTCACCACTGACCATACAAACAGGCTCACATTTCTCACAATATGAAATCCAGTAGACATATACATATAGGTGCGGGCGGAGCTACGTCACAGATCAGTAGTCACGTGACCACCAGCAGAACGCCGGTGAAAACAACACGATCGCGTCACTGGCGCCCATAGGATAATACTGCATAACGATACGAATTATCCGTCACTTGGTTTGAAAGTTTTAATAAGTTTTTTTCATGATATTTCTTCTAATATGCCTTACGAGTATATAGATAGCCTTTCGGTAACTATAATTATGACATTATGTAAGATACATATGATACATAAGATACATAAGATAAATATTTTAAGCTATTCTTATTTGTATTTGTTTGCTTTGCATTAGTTGAATAAAATTACCCCAGGTCTCGTGAAACAAAAACAAAGTCCAAGATTACACATGCGCACGCACACACACGCACACGCACACACAGTGACACACGCACACGCACTCGCACACACAGTTACACACTCACACGCACACGCACACGCACTCGCACACACACACACACACACGCACGCACGCGCGCACACGCACGCACGCACGCACGCACGCACACACAGTGACACACTCACACTCACACGCACACACAGTGATACACTCACACGCACACACAGTGAT